CTGTGTCCCTTTAATACAGTGGTTCCTAGCCTTCCTAACGCTGCGACCCTTTAATACAGTGGTTCCCAGCCTTTCTAACACTGTGACCCTTTAATACAGTGGTTCCCAGCCTTTCTAACGCTGTGACCCTTTAATACAGTGGTTCCCAGCCTTCCTAACGCTGTGACCCTTTAATACAGTGGTTCCCAGCCTTTCTAACGCTGCAACCCTTTAATACAGTGGTTCCCAGCCTTTCTAACGCTGCGACCCTTTAATACAGTGGTTCCCAGCCTTTCTAACACTGCAACCCTTTAATACAGTGGTTCCCAGCCTTCCTAACGCTGTGACCCTTTAATGCAGTTCCTCATGTTGTGGACCTACCCCCCACCACCACCACAAAATCATTTCCTTGCTATTTCATTACTGTAATTCTGCTAGTTATGAATTGTAATTATATATCTGATATTCAACCCCTCCAAAGGGGTTGTGATCCACAGGTCGAGAACCACTTCTCCAATTAACTATTGGAGTATTAGTTCGACAAATTTAGATTTGGGCTTAAAATCTACATGCTTTTATATTTTCCAGAAACTCATCTACTATGCAGTAAAAAATATTTCTAAATTTCTGTGAGCTTTAAAAGTTCTGCCTATACATAGTCACTGGGGGAAAAGGCTGCTGTACTTTATTTATAGCCAACCCTCTTAGCTCTGCCAGGAATGACAGAAATCAAACCCTAGTCACCGAGAGGTTAGTCACCTGTGGGAGGGCTAACCAGCCCTTTGTCTTGCCTACCATCTCTGCTAGAGGTCTTTGGCTCAGAAAGGGTGCAGTGGAGGCAGGACTCGTGCTGGTCCGGCTGACACTGATGCCGGGGATACGAGAAGCAAGTGGAAAAGGAGAAAAATGGATGGTGAGCTGTGGTCACATAAAGCTATGGGTGCGGGAAAGGGGCCTGGCTGTGTCCCCGCCTTCCCTTTAGGGTCTGGTTCAGTAACTACCTTTATGTATGGACTGGGGATCCAGGCACTGCTTCCTCAGGAAATGTTGCTCTAGCTCTCTGAGTTGTTAGGACAGCCCTGGCCTCCAGAGTTCCCAGAGGGCTTAGCGGGCAGGAGCAACTACAGTTAATAACAAGACCCCCAAGCAGTGCTGGGAGGTGAAGGACTACAGGCCAGGAGCTAAGCTATGAAGTAGCCTTCTAGTGCTGGGGAATTCCCCTGGAGCAGGAGGAGGGGGCTCACCAAGTGAAGAGAGAGCCTAGGTCTGCTTCCCTTCCCAAAGAACTGACCCCCAGGGTCCCGTCCTTGGCCAGCTGCTCTCACAAGGAAACAGCATGCTGGGAATGCCCTTGAGCTGCTTACCCAGTAGAGCACATCTGTCCAGCCCTCCATGGTGATACACTGGAACACAGTGAGCATGGCAAAGGCAAAGTTATCAAAATTAGTGATGCCTCCATTGGGGCCAACCCAGCCACTCCTACATTCCGTGCCATTGGCGGTACACTGGCGTCCATTCCCTGAGAACGCACATGGAGCTGGGTCCTCTTCAGCTACGATATCTACAGGGAAGGAAGGAAGCAAAGGACAGTTCAGAAGAGGAGCACCAGGACTCCACTCAAGCCCAGAGCACCAGACACTGGCACCTTTGCCGCCTCACTCGGAACATTCCCCTGCCAGTGGAGCTCAACTTCTTCTAGACACCTACCACGCCCCGCCCTGCCCACACATTTGCGGGCCTTTCCTGGGCTTACAGGATAGAGTTACCTGCTTTACCCTGAGCAGGTCCCCATCTTTATCTGCAATCGGGGTGGAGAAGTAGAACAGATTCCCTCAACACAACACACACACGCGGAGAGAATAGATGGGAATAAAAGGTTCAGGAGACCAGCACCTCCCTCAAACCAAAAATGTTTTCATGTTTGAGTAATAATTACTGTCACTACTCACCTGAGTCAGCAAAAAAACATGTTTTGTGCATTTTTCCAATAAAAAGTTCCAATCCTATAATAGCATAGATGATAATTACAAATAATACCAAAAGGGCTATGTGAAGGAGGGGGACCATGGCTTTTATAATGGAGTTCAGAACAACTTGTAAACCTAGGAGAGAGAAAAATCCATTTGTGAGTTAGGGAGACTTCAAATGTATCACAAATACAATCCCCAATGATGCTTGCTCTATTTACGGCATAGAGTAATAAAGTGTAGAGATATTTCAAAACTGTTAATTAATAATACTAAGCCTCGAGATGAGATAAGATAAAAAGGGACTCTTAAAGATCATTTAATCCAACTCCTTCACTAGACAGTGTGAAAAATGAATGCCCAGAGAGGAGCAGCCAGTAATAAAATCATTTATTTATTTATGTACTTTTTTATTTCATTTAACAGACCACCCAAATATGCAAAATACGGAGGATAGTGCTTTGGATAATATAAAGATGAATTACACAAACCTCCCTCAAAGAGGTTATAGTCTAGAAGGAAATAAAAGGATTTAACACAAATTACTCTCAGGTAGTATGCAAACACTGTATGACAAACAGAAAACAGAAAATTAAAGAGGAATAAAAGTACTGCCTCTGAGCAGGGTGAGGGCAGAGGATCGGAAGAAGGTTCCCACTGATCTGAGCCTGAAGACAGATCATCACAGGTAGGCCTTGCAGAAAACCCAACACAGAAGTAAGCAGTGTGCAGTGTGAGCTGGGGTGGGTTTGTCATCACAGCTAGCCATAAAGGCCATCAGCAAAGTGGTCACAGAATGTGGTTCTGGGTTTTAAATTTGGGTTTGGAATCAGACCTGAGTCCACTGGCAAAAGTTGCTTTGGAGAGAGCAAATGGACAGCAGTAAGCTCAGAAGGCAGAGAAATGGCTCGAGAGAGGTGGGAACACAGGGAAGCAGAGGGTCTGATTCCAGCTACAGCTAGAATGAAGAGAGGGAGCCTCAGGGGTGCTCCTGTGATCTCCTGCAGTCTTGAGGGCAAATTACAGCTGTCCTCCAGCACCCCACAAAAGAAGAAATCCCTTCAAGTGTTTTCAAGGCAGTCCCTCTAGGATGGAGGGTGTAAGCAGGGACAGTAGGAGGCCGAGAGTGGGTTTGGGAAGGTCGGGGTTCAAAATTCTATATATCATTAGGGTGCAGGTGTCCTGCAGCTAGAAGGTGGGCTTGAGAGATGAGAGCCCCAATAGAGCCGCGGAGCAGGGACAGATGCCAGGGAAGACATGACGGAACAGACAGAGGGAAGGGAAGGAGGACCCAGAGCCTGCACTAGAACGAGGCTTCCTGGCTCAGTGTTCAGTATCTTGCACTCTTCCCACTGCCCAAGCATCAGCTTCTATATGGGTGACTTGTTCCTTTTCTTTTCTTCCCCTTCTTATTCTTTCAACGTTTATTCAAAGGCAGAAAGAACAGAAGAAGCTGAGCTCCTTAGAGTTAAAACAAAGCAGCAGTTGCAATAAGCCAAGAAAGAGAGAAGCAACCCTAGTCATTACAGTCACCTGTCTCCCCTGGTAAGTGCACATGAAAAGAAGTGGGGGGCGGGCAGGAGAGGAGGCTCACAAAGTGTCTTCAAGACCAGCAAGACCATCTCCCCCCAAAACCTTCTTTGCTGCTAAAATCCTAGGCCCATCCTTAAATGTTCAAATGGGTTCATTTGAAAATAAGACTAACGAGATGATTCTTAAATTTTTTTTTGTCTATTGCAGGCAATAAATGGAATGGGGGAGCATTGGCTCCCATATACATGGACTTGGCTGCTATTCTGATATTTTCTTTTCTACTTTTCTGTTTTGAGAAATGGATAAGGCCATTCTAAAGCACCTAAGAGTTAGTTATCTCTTAAACCCTACTGCAGTGAGCCATTGTTTCAGGAATGTAGTTATGTTCAGTATAACTACTGCGTTTCAGATTGGCCAAACTTAGGGGCTAATATAAAGTTGTATCACAGACTGAGCACAGGTGCTTTCATTACATCCAGCTCCCTGGGACACAATCAACATGCTCAGTGTGAAGGCCTGGGAAGGCTGCCATGCCAGAGCAAGGAACCCAGGACAGTCCCCTCATGGCTTCTCACTGGCTGTGAGAGTTCAAAAGTCACTACCTCCTAATTGGTTTCACTGAGTTTCTCCAAAAGGAGGCAAGAACTGGTCAGAGGGTCTCCAGTGTGCTTTCCCATCTTTATGGTGTTGGATTCTAGTTTTGTTTTTTCTTTTGTTTAGGGTAGGGCCTCACTATAATGCCTTGGCTGTCCTGGAACTCACTCTGTAGACCAGGGTGGCCTCAAACTCACTGCGATCTGCCTTCCTCTGCCACCTGAGTGTTGGGGTTAGTGTGTGCACCACACACCTCGTTCTTCCTCTGCCACCCGAGTGTTGGGGTTAGTGTGTGCACCACACGCCTTGTTCTTCCTCTGCCTCCGGAGTGTTGGGGTTAGTGTGTGCACCACACACCTTGTCCTTCCTCTGTGCAGGCCCATATTTTTATATTGGTGTGGCAGCCAGGCTCTGAAGCCATAGGCCTATCTGAGGTGGTCATGTAGACCTGTAGACAGCTTGTCATTATCCTCAACAACAGCCAGGATGTGTTAATCCTTCTTTTTTGTTATAAATGTAGATCGCCTGGGGAGAGGTGTTTGTTGAGAAGCTGATGACTTAATTGTAGGTGCTGTCCCTAGCCCGGCATTCTCGGAAAGAGAATATGAATGAGGTATCCACCTGATTGAGCAGGGGGATTAAGAGATTTTTTAAAAGAATAAACGGGGTTAGATCTTCAGGGGGAGAAGCCTGAGATATCCCTCATCCTTCCTCTGCCTCCCGAGCGTTGGGGTTAAGTGTGTGCATCACACACCTTGTTCTTCCTCTGCCTCTCAAGTGTTGGGGTTAGTGTGTGCACCACACACCTCATGCTTTTAGATTCTGATAAACATTTTCCAGATAATAGAATGTAGGTGAGTAAAAGTCCACAGACTCTCTCTCTCTCTCTCTCTCTCTCACACACACACACACACACACGCAAATATAATTTTAAATAATTTTTTTAAATGTGCTAGTGAGATGGCTCCACAAGTAAAAGAGTTTGCTGCCAACCCTGATAATCTGAATCAGAGTAAAGGAAAGAAATATCCTACAAGGTCTCTTCCAACCTTCATAATGTGTGTCATGGCACACATGCATGAGCGTGTGTGTGTGTGTGTGTGTATACACAAAAAATGTAATAAACTTTAAAAAATAATTCCACATGACTCAACTATGCCCCTATGGAAGACAGTTATCTTTCCCTTAATGATTATCTACTTGTGTACACACAAAAATTAAATTCTGTGCAACAGCCGCAGTCTTCAGGAGTGCAAAGGCAATGCTTGCTTTGAAAGGACAGCTAAACATTCCTGGTCATCTTCAATGATTTCAGGAGCTGGAGAAGAAATTACCAAGTCCAGAGCTGAAAATAACTGAAATAATAATGGTCTGCAAGTCCCAATTCCTCTCCCCAAATCCAATTGGATCTGAGGAAAATGTTCCCTGACACAGTCAGCTAAAACATGGGCTGAAGGTTGGGCCTCGATTCTCTCTAGTGACCCATGGAAGAGCAAGACACAGACCACCACAAACTTCACATGGTCTTGTGTCTTGCAGGAAGGAAGAGCAGAAACTGTTTTGTAGTGCTTGTGGAACACTAACCCTTCTGCAGAAACCTCCTTAGCCAAGGAGCCAAGGCCAAGCCAGGCCAGTTCCGAGAGTTTTCACTGGCAGGGGCCGCTCGTGTACACACGAGCCACAGTTCCGTGTCTGCACGCAGCACACGCCACAGCCAGGCTGTCCTGTCATTTGCTCTTTAGGGGAAAAGGGCTGTCATGGTTACTTTGAAATTAGATTAAGCTGTGACAACTAAATCAGAAAGAGCATATTTGTTCACTGAGCCCTTCACTTCATCACGTTACACTTAACGGTGCCAGCCGCTGCCAAGGTATTTCTGTTTCTCTCAATTGCTTCCAGGCAGTTCTGTGGTTTTTGACTTGCACTGATCTTTTTCAATGAAAATAAATGAACCATCTGGAAAAATAAGTACACTTAAAACACCACTTCCTACATTTTAAATGTTAAATTTGGAAATGTAGCATTTTTTTTTTTCCAGAGGTGTTTGGTACATTCCGAGTGCCTAAGGTTTAATAAAACTTCCTGAAGACAGGCTGGGAGGAGGAGAGCCAGTGTTCCGATGGGGGTATGAGCTGTGGAAGGCAGCTGTATTCAGCAGTGCTATATCCTTGGTTCCCGCTGAGTGGTCCGCCTCCTCAGAAGCACCGATGCCAGGACAGGTATGAGGGTGTCGACACTCTCGAGGCCCCAGAAAATGCACTCTTACCAAGCGGGAAGCTAATGAAGCAAAGGCTAAGCAGGCTTCTTAAGGACGGAGCTTCCCTCTGCAGCCCAGGTTAGCCTCAACAGAGTCAGAAGGCAAGCGGGGCCAGGCACTGACTGATGAGGTAGGGTCTACCGGAAGGCACCAGTCTGCCTCACACTCCTGCTAGGGTCTCTCTTCATGGCCTGGTGGGGTTCTTATGCCACCATCATGCAGGGTAGTGCTGTGCTTTCTACCCAGGTATGGAGACTGCAACGCTCATCTCTCTTCTCGGAGAGGGACAGGTGTCATTGCTAGTGGGGCCAACTGGAGTTCCAGGATCCAGTCCCGCCTGTTGCTTCTACTCGGAGCCCCCCAACTTCAATACTGATACTTCTAGGTGACAGGCTTGGGAGTAAGGAAGAAAAGCCCAGGATACTGTCAGAGTACAGAACTAGACAGGACACCAGAGGTCAGATGCCCGGGATACTATCAG